CTCGGTGGGGTTTAAAGAACTGCAACATGTGCCTACCCAACCCTGGGATTAAATCCGGAAACATTGGTACAATCCCCGCTAGAAGAATCTCTGAGGTGTTTTTCTCCACCTCAGTGGAAATAAAGTCTCTATTCTAAGAAGTTCTTTTATTGAGTTGGGGTCTCACTATGCAGCCCAAGATAGCCTGGAACTCACTATATAGACCAGGCTGGCTTGGAACTCACAGAGGTCTCCTTGCCTTTGCCTCTGAAGTGCTGGGATTAAGGGTGCCAGCCACCATGCCAAGCTATCCTAAGAAGTTAAAAAAAAATGACAATAACCAAAATGCAATCCTTGAACTGGGAGGCTGTTGGTTTTAGACAAGAGACTATTTAGTTACACAAATGGCCACGCAAATTAAAAGTGCAAGTGGGTGGATTCTTTTTGATTTGGATCTAATGCTGTAGTGACACACTCTATGCCCTGGGGAATTATCTCTGAGCTCATGGGGACAGGGCCATCCACAGTAAGTGACCAGTGAAGAACTGAGAGCATCGAGGACAGAATAAAGGAGAAGTAACTAAAACATGGATTTACTTCATTACAAGTCCAGAGCAGGGAAAGAACCCATGTCTTTAGCCTGACTTGAGTCTTTACTGTTCATGAAGGGGAGTTTAGCCTTCATGCAGAGGAACCAGACAGCACTTTGTCTGGCTTTTTTTTTTAAGTCTTTGCTGCTGTGGTATTTTGCTCTTTATTCTTTATTTATGGGTCCATTGGTGTGGGAACTCAGACTTCAAACCCTTGTCCCTATGAGGGATTGTCCCCGTAGAGAAAAGAAACATCAGGGTACTCACAGGAAGGTATCAGCATTCAAACCTGTGGGCAGGAATATCCTACAGGGAACAAAGTCCACATTCAACTTAATCTTCCCTTTCCCTCACCCCTGGAATCTTCAGGCAGGGACATGTTGGTCTCTAGAGAAGTTATCTCAGGTGAAGAGGGAGTAGAAAAGAGCTGCCATGAAGTCTATCTATGCTGGAGTCCTGTCTGATTGGATCTCATTTTCATGAACTTGGTAAGAAGTTTTAAGTAAAAAGAAAAAAAGAAAAAACATGAGAGGAGACTAGGATGGGTAACTTAATGTTACTGGCAAGGAAAATTCTAGAGTGAGGTGAGAAGTCATAGAGAGTAGATACAGGAAATCGTGTTTTCCCTGACAGAAGTTAATTCTAAACTAAGTATTCCTCTGCAAGAAAGGCAGGGAAACATTTTTACATGTCTATCATTTGTCCTTAGAGGACTCATCTGAGGAGTATCTGATTGGATCTCTTGTTTTCATGAACTTGGTAGGAAGGTTTAAGTAAAGAAAAACAAAAAAACAAAAACAAACAAAAAATGAGAGAAGACTGAGATGTGTAACTTAATGTTACTGGCAAGGAGAATTCTAGAATGAGGTGATTCCCCTGGGGACTCAGTAGCATTGGAGAGCTTAGGCAGTTTGTGTGAGCATAATGTGGTCCACCACAAGGGCATGATGCCCATGCAATATGTGCATCTCATAGACTAAATGTACACAGCCACCTAGCAGCTGCCTCCCAATCTTAACTCTGACATTAGTAGTTGGTACCAATGCATGCATGTCTCAGAGGTTCTGGGTACATTCTTGGGCCCCCAGCTACAGGGTGGTCTAAGGCAGGGAGAGGAAAGGAAAGAGAGAGAATGTGAATCTTGTTTCCCTAAGCCATGATTAATGCACCGGTGGAAACCCATCCCTCATCTCCAAGTCCTTGAAGAAGAGGGAATAATAGTACCCTTGTTCAGAGAGAAGAAAGTTCAGAAGCATCCTGTGCTTATCTTTTTATCTCCTGGCTCGCTGAGCCATGATGCAGCTGTTCGAGGCTACAGGTTCTTGTGTCTCTTTGAAATGAATTACATAGGGTCACATGGGTAGTTACAGAACAAGAGATAGTTTATTACGGGAGACACAGATGAGCTTGAAAGTGTGGCACTCCTGGCCTGTGGCCTGGCACCAAGAGGAAGAATGGGAAGGAAAGGGACTATGTGACCATTGGGGACTCATTTGCATAGGAGGATCCACCTCTCCCAGTTTCATACAATGTGTCCTTTTTTTCAAGCATGCTCCCTTTGTTGAATGAAGCCTAGGTAGGCTGAGGGATTCCAGTCTCTCTCCAGCCTACTTTCACATGTTAATTGTGATGGTTCATTTCAGTCTACGTTTCTCTGTCACACTCACAGACTGCACTGGGAGGTAGAGGCTGTTAAGGTGAAATGAGGTCATAAGAATGCATTCTGCTACAACAGAACCGGTGTGTTTTTAGGCATAGGAAGAGCCACTAGAGCACATGTACACAGAAGGGTGGCCCTACTGAGGCCTCAAGAAAAGCCAACACACAGGTCATAGATAGTCAGCCTCATGGCAATGGGAAAGTGGATGCTAAGCTGCCGGGCTGGCGTGCTGTGTGGCAGGCCTCACAGCAAGAGATGGTGACAATGACCGTGACCATGACTCTAGGAGAAGCTACAGGAGGCTTCTCTGGGACTTAGGCTGGGAGTACCATCTGGGTTCCCTGTTCCTGGTCTAAACTGTGGGCAATGGAAGAGGGGCTTCTTGTATAAAAGCCCTCTGTTTGTTCCTCTCTTCTCCCAAGTGAGGGCAACTATGCACACTACTTAAGTAGGTACCTGAGGCCATGGTCTTGTAGCAAGGAAACCAAGCATCCAGTGTCCCTGCCTCTCTGGAGACTCTGGCAAAGGCATGGTGACTGGGAAACAGGGCAGGAAAAGCACTGGGCCACAAGCTGTCTACTGGACCACAAACTAAGTGGCCACATGCTACAAGGTCAGCACTAGCTGTGTTCCAGACTAGCATCTGTCCACTGTGTCTGACCCAAGCAGACCCTTGGTCCCCAGAGTGAAGGGTGTGTGTGAGCATATGCAAGCCTGTCTGTGCCAAATGTGCATGAGTTTCCCACAAGGAGGGTAACATGTTCCCAACCTGGTCCTCTGAGCCCCAGGGGAGCTGTTTTCCCCAGGAATTAGGCTGAGCTCAGCAGGGAATAACCAATTTTCTGTGTTTATTTGTTTCTTATACAAGAAGGCTTCTGTTTGGTTCTAATGAGTAGCTTTTCCTAAAGAGAAGCTGTAATAGCAGCAGAAACGTAAGTAGATTCTGTAAACTTGTAATCATACGTGTCAAACACACTGTGGTATTTTTCCCTGTAAAATAGAAACGGTGAGAAGTCATAGAGAGTGGGTGCGGGAAATCGTGTTTTCCCTGACAGAAGTTAATTCTAAACTAAGTATTCCCCCGCAAGAAAGGCAGGGAAACATTTTTACATGTCTATCATTTGTCCTTAGAGGACTCAAAACAAATATGTTTCTTAGTACTCGACACCAACATTATTCCAGTGGCCTCGGGCTATGTGCTGTTTTTCTAGTTGGTGGAGCTAGGGGATAAGAAAACTGCACTGTTGTACTGTATTAGGGGGAACACGTCCTGTGGGCTAATCAGAACCCGCAGAAGAGCCTTGGTCCAGAGCTATGGATGGGCAGGCAGCTGAGGGGTCCAGAGCTATGGACGGACAGGCAGTTGAGGGGTCCAGAGCTGTGGGCAGACAGGCAGTTGAGGAGTCCAGAGCTATGGACAGACAGGCAGTTGAGGGGCCAAAGGCAGCCAATCCCACAAGGCCCAAAGCCAGGAGTGAAACTCAGCCAAGTGGGTGAGCAGAGTCTCCTTCCATGCTGGCGTTCTGGGTCAGTGTTACCAAATCTCTCAGTTAGCATGGGCGCAGAGCCCACAGGAAGAGCAGGGCCACAGATCTCTAGAAGACACCATCAGAGAGCACTGTATGTAGTAGCTTCTCCCTCAACATAAAGGCCCTGGCCAGGCTGCAGAATCTTTTGCAGATGTGGAAACGAGAAACATTCTCTTTGACAAATGAGTCAGAATCACATGCTGCCTCAAGTCAGGGGCCACAGCCCTGGCTGCAGAGGGCACTGTATTTTTTTGGTAGAGGAGGTTGCTGGGATGGACCAGGCTCTCCTGCATAATAGGCCAGTGTTCTACCATGGAGCTGCATCCCAGACCCAGGGATGCTCTCCTTTGAGGTTTCCATAATGGAAGGGTTCGAATCTGACATCTTGGTGAAGAGGCAGGAAACTTTGTACAGGGCTGACTGCTGTTTTGGAAGAGGCAGCTATACTTCAATTTGACCTTCTAGAAGTTTCTCCTGTGGCCCCTAGGGCTGTGTCTCTCTTCATAGATCCTGGAGCTGAGTATCAGAATGGTTAAACACAGAGGTGCCCTAACAAAACCAACCTACACAGATGTAGGAGAACAAACTCTGGGTCAAGAGCTCAAGGGGTCCCTTCCCCACCTGGGTCCAGCAGAAGACCCAACCTCACTATTGCCCTCGGCTTCAGATACTCCAGACGACCTGGAAGGGGACATGAACACCTGACGTTTCAGGGTTGATGCAGGGCTGAGGCTTATGAAGACCTTCACAGGAACCCACAGGAACCTCCTCTGTGCAGCTGGTCGTGTCTCCTCCCTTTCTGGGGATCCAGGCTGAGGGCGCTGTGCTGGTGTTTGCCCGTTCTTTCCTCCCGTGGTGAACACAGGTCCTCTGTAGGCTTTCTAAAATGCCCAGCATGATCCTGGAGGGAGCCGAACCTGTGAACATCTCCCTGCAGGAACCTTTTAGGCTTCTGCCTTTGCCCCCTTCCTTCCTTCCTTCCTTCCTTCCTTCCTTCCTTCCTTCCTTCCTTCCTTCCTTCCCTTCTTCCTTCCTTCCTTCCTTCCTTCCTTCCTTCCTTCCTTCCTTCCTTCCCTTCTTCCTTCCTTCCTACCCTTGTCCAAGTCACCAGTGTCCCCTAGGTCAAAAGTGATTCCTGTAGAGATGGCCTCTTTCCATCTGCCTCTGTCTTTCTAACCTTATTTTATTTCTTCTTCTTCTTCTCTCTCCCTCCCCCGTCCCTCCCTCTCACATACACGCTGCAGAACTATTTCGTATAGCCAGGAGGTGACTCTGCAGCCTTTCCCCCTACCCAGTCCATGGCCAGTCACCATTGACCTGGGGACAAAAAGGAAAGAAACACACTGTCTTTAGTCCTAGGAGAACCTCACACAGGCCTAAGCAAACAAAGTGTCCTCTTAGTCTCAGAAAGCTCCAAGGGGATGCAGATACCACCCTTTACCGCCTTGAGGTACCTTAGGATGACTCTGAGGCTCTGTGCTCACTTCTAGTATCAGAAAGGAACAGAGAAGTCCCTGTGTGTCAGATGCCGGCAGCAGGCTTTTGTCCCCTAGGGCTCCTTCTACAGGACTCTTGTCAATGGTACCTGGCTGTGTTTCAGGATCGCTCTGGAAAGCCAAGCTCAGCTTTCGTGTTCCTCTGCAGGAAGAAAAGACATTTTCAGAAAGTCCCATCTCAGAGACCTGGCCCAGGTGTGGCGAAGCCCATCAGAGCAATGGCAGCGGCCTGTGAATGACCCCAGTGTGCACCATGGCTGTGGGACTGTTAATCTTGATTATCAACTTCACAGGTTAAGAGTCACTATGGAAATATACCCCTGGGTGTGACTGTGAGGGTGTTTCTAGAATGAGTTAAGCGAAGAGGAAAGACCCATGCTGAATACGACCAGCTCTTTCACTCGGCCTCTGCCATGCCTCCTCATCATGATCAAACTATGACCTCAAGTTAAGCCTATTCCTTAAGTTGCTTTTATCAGGTGTTTGTTACAGCAATGAGAAAAGGAACTAACACACCATGGTAGTGGGATTCAAACATGTGCCACTCTAGCCCTCCAACATCCCTTTGTGATATTACCTCCTTAGACATGCCTCCCTGCAAAATCACAGGGCACGTGCACAGTGGCTGCAACCAGACGCACTCCAGAGCCAGGCAGGATGGGACTCTGAGCAGTTTTGCTCATTGTCATTTGCTCCAGGCCTGGGCACAAGGCCTAAGCCCAGTGTCTCATTGGAGACCCCAGAGGGTCTTGTTGGTTCCCAGTGAGGTTTAACCTCCCTGAGGATGGGCTGCCCTCCAATGCCCACAGCCTCCCCAGTGGAGCAAGTCCCTGAAGTCAGGCCTGAGAAAAACTATGGAACATGGACATGTGGCAGGTCTGTGCACCTGCCATGCTACTAAAGGAACTGACTCATCTCTCTTGACTCTGTGGCTGGATGACGGGACTACAGCAACATTTCCACCGGAGCTGTGGTAAGAGGAGTGCTCTTGACAAGGAAGGCACTGGACCCGCATGAAGGTGCTGTGCCTTCTCTGTTGAAGAAAGTCCCCTGGCTGCACCACAACCAGGGGTGTATGCCAGCATCAGTATACTCATGACTAAGATGTTGAGTGGGTACATGCAGGCTCCAGGTGGGATATTCCCCATGCTGCTGTTTTCTCAAGCCATATACTCCTGGGTACTCCTCCCTTCCCATCAGTAAATTTCTCCCCACAGACAAAGCTAAACATCCTTAGCTTCCCAGACAAGTGTTTAGAAAGGGCCCTTGCCTGATGTAGCATGAATCTTAGAAGGTCTTATTAATAAAATCAAACCTGAGGCCAAGTATTGGGGTGAACACTGGAAGATCAGAGAGACAGAACAAGCCACAGCTAACCTCACCTGGCCAACTTCTCAGCTGATCTTGTTTCCTCAGATTGGAAGTCTCTGTGTCCTCATATCCAAATGGCTCTCAGCTGAACTGTTCTGCTCAAAACCTAAAAGCTTAACCAGCCAAATGCTTCTAGTTTTTGGTCTTCACGCCTTATATATCTTTCTCTTTCTGCCATCACTCCCTGGGATTAAAGGCTTGCTTTCTGGGATTAAAAGCGTGAGTCACCATGCCCGGCTGTTTCCAATGTGGCCTTGAACTCACAGAGATCCTAGATGGATTTCTACCTCTGGAATGCTAGGATTAAAGGTGTGAGTGCCACCATTTTCTAGCCTCTGTATCTAGTGGCTGTTCTGTCTCTGACCCCAGATAAGTTTATTAGGGTGCACAATATTTTGGGGAATACAATACCACCACAGCCTGACATGGGTTTCTGCCTCTGCATGTAGGGGACTCTCCTCTGTCCTGGGACTGCTTAGCCTATGATTTCATGAGTAACAACCTGGCCCTAAGGGACTCCTTTCTATCATGCCTACTTTCCAAAAATGAATTGTAGTCCAGATATTGATCAGGAGCCAAGGCCTCTTCTGTGCTCTGGTTGGGGTATCTGCCAATGCACTTGCATGTACAGACATACAACACATGTGCACATTTGTGCAAGCATACAAACATACACATGAACACCCAACACACATGGGCAAACACACCTGCACAATTCATAGGTGAGCTCACACTGACAATGTACACCCACAGTAATGCAACACATAGACATACACCAGGTATGTATACTGTTTGCACATTCCCCCCAAAACATAATGCATGAGCAGACACATGTGCACATACGTCTCCTCATACATGTACACTACACAGGCACACCGGACATGAACACACTTTGCTTTTGCAAACATACCATCCCACACCACAATGGCCTAGGGCACATGTGTGCACACATGTGCTCTGCTCTTCTAAACAAGACCTGGTAGACTCCCTACAAGCTCTTCCCTTGAGGTCTGGATTCTTTCCCAGGGAAGCCTGAGAAGCCACTGTAGGTCACTGATCTGACACTGGGCTCTGGACTCCATGGTCCTGAGTGGCCTTTTAAAAGCCAGTGCTGCCTGTAAGCATGTGTACTTACAGTTTCCAACAGGCTTGTCCCTCTGGGCTGTGTCACATGACCAGTTGGTGCCTATCCCCTGCTGCTAGTGTGAGAGAGGGTGAGGATTGGTAAGGCTGGGTTCCTTATCAGAAAGGGAGTTTGGGGGCCCTTTGAAGTGGCCTTTCTGAATCCAGAGACTTGTGTTTGGTGCCTGCTCCATGGCTGACACGCTCACCTATAAATAATGGTGGTGACAAGTCCCCTGTCAGCACCCGCTGATGGACGGCTCCTTCTCCTGCCATTACAGCCTTGTGACTGTGGGAAAATTAATTTAAGTGGTAGTTAATTTCTAATGAATTCCATTCAAGCGGCTAATATGGTCCCTTGGTGTTATGGTAACCTTCACGGATCATTGCATTATGTAAATAAATTCTACTTTATGCTGGTTTATTAAAAAAAGAGAGTAAAGATTGGGAAGTCTGGGTAATTCTCACACAGTCACACAAACAACCCACAGTGGCTGGAAACTCTTTAAAGGGGAAAATACAAGCCACTCTGGAGACTGTTCAAGAAGGGACAGCCACAGAATGGTGGAATCATCTATTTTTAGGGCTCTACATACACAGGCTCTCCCCACACCCCCCGAATTCATGCAGCTTATGTTGTATTCCAGAGAGAGGGTTTCTACCTTAAGTCACAGTGAAGTTGTACCTTAGGGAGTCTTGATTTCAACACCTAGGTGGGGGTGTCTAGGTGAGGCTTGTCCTGGATGCAGAGGAAGGAGTTTGACTTCAAGTCACACTTAGGAGAGTTGCCATCAGGAACAAGGCTTGGCATCTCTGTGTAATGTGCAGTGTGTGGTTTGAGGTATGTGGTGTGGTTGTAGTGTGCAGTGTGTGTGTTGGAAGGAAGTATGGCTGAGGCAGTATTGGGAAGAGGAGCAGACCATCTCTCCCGAGGGACTTGCTCACTCACCTGCAGGGGCAGCCCACCCGCAGCTCACAGGAGACCCAGGGGCCTGGTCGTTGGTGCACACAGAGGAGTCAAGATGCTCTTGGAACCACTCCAGCCTTTACGGACAGCCTCCGCGTCTTCCTCACTCTGCTCTGTGGCCCTGCCACCATCATTCCTGGAAGGTGCTCGTCTTCTTGGTGGCGTGGGTAGCACTGAACACCTCTCCACCCTGATACTCTGTCCTGTCCTGCCACAGCTCTTGACTTCTCCTCATCTAGATATGCCTCTTTCACATAGCTGTCTCTTCTTCTTGGGGTCTAGGGGCTGGGGTCCCGCAGCCCATAATTTTCAAGATCATTCATCTGTTTTCATCTAATGCAATACTCAGACCACCCAGAGAAGGTCCTTCAAACAGCAGCTACCCTGATGGGGGAGGGCGCAACAGCGGGGCTCACTCAGGGTCTTCCACACCACAGCCAGTCTCATAAAGCCTCCTCTGTCTCCCTCTGTCACCACATGAAGAGGTTCCTAGGTTCCCGCCCCTCTCTGACTAAACAAGGAGTATACAAGCCACAGCCACGGGCTGCCAAGAACACACATACATCCATATTGTTTAACATTGAGAAGTGCACATTTGAAACAATTTGAAATTGAGTCACAGAAAACTTATCTCATAATGTTATAAGTTTACCGTTTTGTATTAGGTCTCATTCATAGTTTTCTTGGGACACATGTGGCTTGTAGGCTGTGGTGAACTCTCAAGGGCACTAGTATCCTATAGAATATTATTTTAAGGAGTGTTACTTTTGTTTCTGTTGCATTTGTTTAAATTAACTCTGTGAAGCTGTGTTACTGTGCCTGTGTAAAACACCTGATGGCCTAATAAAGAACCGGACGGCCAATGGCGAGGCAGGAGAAAGGATAGGCGGGGCTGGAAGGTAGAGAGAATAAACAGGAGGAGAAATCTGGGAGGAAAAGATCAAGGAACGAGAGATGGAGGAGGACTCCAGGTGTCAGCCACCCAGCTACACAGTCAGCCACGGAATAAGAGTAAGATTTACAGAAGTAAGGGAACAGGAAGAGCCCAGAGGCAAAAGGTAGACAGGATAAGTTAAGGAAAGCTGGTAAGAAACAAGCCAAGCTAAGGCCTGGCATTCATAATTAAGAATAAGCCTCCATGTATGATTTATTTGGGAGCTGGGTGATGGGGCCCTGTTGTTTGTTTCTGCTTTTTGGGGGGCCCTGCTACCCAGCTCCCAAATAAATGACACATGGAGGCTTATTCTTAATCACTTAATTCTTAATGCTGGTCTTAGTTTGGCTTAGTTTCTAGCCAGCTTTTCTTAACTTTAAATTATCCTGACTACCTTTTGCCTCTGGGCTTTTCCGTTTCTATTCCTAAATACCTTTGTTTCTTACTGTGTGGCTGGCTGTATAGCTGAGTGGCCGACCCCTGGGTCCTCCTCCTCCTCTGGCTCCTCATTCTCCAATCGTCTCGTCCCAGATTTCTCCCTCTCTCTCTATATATTTTCTGCCTGCCAGCCCCGCCTATCCTTTCTCCTGCCTTGCTATTGGTCAGTTCTTTATTAGACCATCAGGGACCTCGTGAAACATCAGAGCTAACTGGGTGGCTCGGGTGGCATCAGCCAGCGATAACCCAAAGATGAAGATGTCAGAGGGAGGACCACTCTGGTCAGTGTCCAGCACCAGTGCGGGCAGAGGGTCAGAGACAGTGTCTTGGTTTGCAGGTTTTCATTTGGCCCACAAGGTCGAGTCAGAACACTGTGAAGCTGTTCCAGGGAAAGGAACTAATGTAACTAATGTTTCTACTACATTTTACCCAAAGAATTAAATGCTTTTCCGAGAAAACCAGCTCAGTAAATTAAGGCTTTAAATTTTTAAATTTAGAAAAAGTACAGTATTTTAAGACATAAATTTTTCATCACGACAAAAATAAAAATTAACCAACCAATGGAAGGAAGGGAAGTGTGCTCCCATCAGGCTTCTATAACATGTTCCTGCCTGCACTGAGGATGCAAAGGCTTGAGTGGCCACCTGCAAGTATTCCTGCTCAGGTATGAGGTCAGTGTAACTTGGTCCTAGAGGCCAGGGAAGGACCTACTGACTCTATCCTGTCATGTCAACACAATCAATCAAAGAGGAGACTGGAACTGGGGGTCCCTCAGGCCTGCCAGAGCTGAGGTGGCAGCTGGAATTCCAGACGCCAGGTCCTAAGAAGTTATGTCTGCCCCCATTCCCCACTCATCCTGGAAGCTGGTGGGGCAGCTTGAATTTCTGCACTGTGAACAGTCCCCGAGGGTCACTGTCACTGGTGTGTGGTGCCATCTCTAGAAGAACTGCAGTTAGTGCCCTGAAGATCAGACGAACTGCCTTACAAAGCCGTTCCCAAGGACTCAAAGCTGTGAACCATGAGAAATGCCCACGAGGTGAGCACCCCACCCTGGCCTTGCCTGTTGCTAGAGGTTAGGGTGAATGAGTTAGGCTATTCAAAAGTATACTTATTTCTACTGAAAATAGCGTCAACTGGAGAATTCTGGAAATAAAAGGACGACATATGTCCTGTATTACTAATACAGCGACAGGCACACACTGAGTATCTGTGACGTGCCACATTCTTCTGACTCTGACATGATAGCTTTGAAACTTTTAATTTTCCATCTTATAGATAGGGAACTGAGGCACCCAGAGCGGACTGTCACACAGCTAAAGATGGTGGCGTTGGGATTCACACCTTAGCTGTCCCACTACCCACAAGTGCCTTCTAAGTCCAAGAAGCAGAACTAAAGTGGCCTCAGCCTTAACTGACCACAACGAGAAAATAGTGCTTACAGCCAGGCCTGTCCAGTCACCCTGGCCCACGGCCCTCCGCTGGCCAGGTGTTTAATGAGTTTCTGCAGAGTTCAGGCTTGTAAACCCGCAGCATGTAACCTTGTGTCGATAATGAACCAGAGAACTTGGTTTGTACTATTGTTTGTGCCAGGTCTTTCTCCTGCTAAGTTGCTGGTTGCACTCATGACCACCAGCTGTTCCTCCTGTGTCCCCAGACTCTCCTCCAGGCTTCATGTTCACACGAATGCTCACACACACCCTTCAGAATGCAACAGATCACAGCACATGGTTTTCCTGTCTCCCCTTAAAAATACATTATTGCCAGGATCCCTCTTCTCAAAGCCCTGTCTGGAGGATCCCTGCCTACACCTACCTGCTCACCAAGTATCAGACCTATGTCTTACAGTTCCAACAGCTATTATAAGACCCCAAGAAAAGGCAATGGTCCTGTAACCACCCACTGAAAACATCTCTGATTTTATGACACTCTGGGAAAATGACCCAAGGTACCAGTAGCTACCAGGTGTCATTCTTGGGCCAGAGGATCCACAGCACTCTGCATCAGTCACAGGGCCACAAAACATGCTGTAGTCTGGAATGTAAGCAGACTACACAAGGTGAACCTTAAGTTTATTGGACTAATGAGATTTAAAACCACAAAAAGCCAGTGTCAAAGACCTATTCCAAGAGGAGCACAAACCCCAGACCGCTTTTTAATGCTCATGAATGCAAGCTTTGAAAAATTAGCTAGTGTCCTAATGCTCCCTTGGGAAGCCAGTGTGCTTTGTCGTTTTCTTTGAGCTGAAAATGGACTAACCTCCTTTTGAAAGCATGAATTTGCTGGTATAAAGAACACTACTACTCCAGTGTTTAAGAACAGTCATGACAAACATTTTTTAATTGGTATCTGAAAAACATCTATATGTAAACAAGGTTTTCCTTGAGTAAAGGTTGGGACAGTTGTTATCCAACAACACCGTTTATTTTTAAGCTGAGGTGGTTGTGCTCCCTACAGGAGCCTTCTGGCTCAGTTGGCTTCAAAAAAGCACTTGCATTCTGCTGCATTTGATGAATGCCAGGGAGGCAGAGGCAGGAGCTTCTCTGCAGTTTCAGGTCAGCCAGTGCTACAGAGCCAGACCCTGTCTCAAGAGGTAAAGCTAGCTTTGCATTCCTGTTTCTTCTGGCCTCCAGCTCAACACACAGCTGCAGGAACAGTAAATCCTTCCCCATCTGTAGCTCTGGACTGACTGACTGAATTTGAAGGAACTGGGCTCGAATTCGGGGTGGGGAAGCAGGTGAGTTCAACAAAACCCTAAGCCACAGATCTTAGATTACAGAATGCTTACATTTATTTTTCTTTGATACGACGAAACGAATTTCCCACGGGCATTGGCCCTTACATTTGCCTCTGCTTATGCCTGGGGTTGGTCTTGCAGAGGACGAACCAGCGCCCACGCCTCTTCACCATGTAGCAGTCCCTGCAGCGCCTCTTGATGACACCCTTGGTCTTGAAGCCCTGCGAGGGCTGCAGTTGCGGCAGGGGGCGGCCACAGAGAAGTGAGCGCACCTCTGCGCAGGGTCTGGCGCTTGGAAGGGTCCCCAGCAGGAAGGACGAGAAGGCCCGGGGCTTCACGGCAGCGAGGCGACTCAGGTGCAGGAGCGGGTCCACGAGCGAAGCCACCGCGCTTCTCACAAGCAGGGCGGCCATGCCGAGGCCAGACCTGTGGGGAGAGGAGCGTGGTCACCGGCCGCTGCACGCCTGTCTATCTAACCCTAGGCCCTCCCTTTTCAAGGTTACTTGGAGTCAGAGGTCAGGGCACACCGGTCAGGCTTCCACGCACGGCACCCCACGTGCGCCGCCTGCGCGCTCCCGGGAAGCCGCGGATTCCTGAGGCTCAGCTCGTCCAGGGCCCCCGCCCGCACTCCCGGCCCTCTGCCGCGAGCCTCCGCCTGCCGCCCACGGAACGCGGGACCCGCACCTGGGACAGGGTGCCACCCGCGGCGAACTCTTCCCCACGCAGTCTCAGGAACCGGCTACCAAAAGCTTCCGCGTCTGCGCAATGGGGGGGGGGGGGGGGAAATGCCACCGCCAGGAAGAAAGATGGCGCGGGGTCACGTGGGATGACGTGCGCCTTGGAGCGGAAGACCAAGGAGCGTGCTTCCGGAGACACAACCCTGCTTGTCTTCCCCATGCCTTATCCAGAGTGCCCCAGGCTAGCTCTGCCCCTGCGGATGTTGGAACCACTGTGGATTGGGAAGACCGGTGCCCACGAGGAGAAGACAAAAGCTAATTACAAAAATGCAGACTGAGACTGAGAAAGAAACGGTCAGCAGTGAATATATTGGAAAAAAGCAACAACATCCAGACAAAATCACATGTTTCCGTTAAGTGACATTCTGCACCCAGGGGGGAAGGCCAGGAGAGCAAGTGCAGACGCTGCCCTAGCTAGTCAGTGCAGTCCTTCCCCCAAACTAGGGAAAGCTCCAAGAAGTGTGGAGGGGTTTGACGGGGGAGTCCCCACACCACGGCTTCTACAGCTAACTCTGGTGTCTCGGGTTTCAGGCAGTTCTTAAATCCACTCATCTTACTGTTTATCACAAAGCAGGTTGCCAGCAAGGCCACCCCGCCCCTCCATGGCCCCCGGGCTCACACTCCACACAGTTCACTGGTCCCATCGCGGTTTCTGCTCTTGGGAAAACCTTGACCCCAGAGTTCCATCACTTTAAAGTCATCGCGGGTCAGAGCGATGGCTGGGGAGTCAAAGGCGCTTGCTGTCTAAGCCAGAGGGCCCAAGTTCAATCCCCAGAACCCACGTGGAAGGGGAGACTGACACTTTCCAGCTCTCACATGTGCTCTGTGGCACCCATGCGTGTGTGAACCCGTGTGTGTGAACACACACACACACACATTTTAAAAAGAGACAAATCGGGGCTGGAGAGATGGCTTAGTGCAGTGGGTCTCAGCCTTCCCTGTGCTGCAGTCCTTTAACACAGTTCCTCATGTAGTGGTGACCCTCTCCCCATAAAATTAGTGTGGTTGCTACTTCATTACTGTAATTGTGCTACTGTCAGGAAGTGTAACGTAAGTATCTGACATGCAGGGTATTTAATATGAAACCCCTGTGAAAAAACTGACTCCCGAAAGAGGGTCGCGACCCACAGGCCGAGAAACCTCTGGCGGAATCCTTTCCGAGCACCTGCTGCTCTCGTGGAGGACCATCATTCTGTCCCCAGCACCCACACAACAGCTCAAGCCATCTGCAACCCTGCTTCCAGGAGCTCCTGCGCCCTTTTCCTGGTACCAGGCACCCACGGAAGTGGCCATACACAGGCGCATACACTCATACACCTAAGAGGAAACAAATCCTTACAAAGAGTGAGAAAGAGACAAATCTGTAGAACATGGTGCGGTGACAAGAAATTAGCCTGAAATCCCAGTACTCCAAAGGCTGAGGCAGGAGGATAGTGAGTGCTGGGTAGCCTGGGTTACTTAGCTTAAGGCTAGCCTGGGCAACTCAGGCCCACATTTACTGGGGGCAGTTTTCAACTTTGCGAGGCTTTGGTGTGTGCATCCTGGTGTCTCACTGCCTTCTCTGGTCATCTCCCACTTGTCTTCAGACTCACCTGGCCTTTATGCTATGGCTGAGGCAGAGAGGCAAGTGCCCGGCCATCAGCCTCCAACGCTGGCCGACAAGCCCGAACAACAGATGCCAGCTTCTGGCACTTTCTCGGAATCAGGGACCCCTCCCTGCTCTGAGTCCCGGGTCTGCCTCCATCCTGTCCACATCTGAACAAAGTTGCCCACTCTACGGCCTGACAGTGTATGATGTTCTGACTCAGAGTCAAGTGGTACAGGCGAGGCCAACACGCGCTCCAGAGTCACTGGGCGATTTGCATCAGGTCTTTCTACACAGCAGAGCTTTTCGAGGCTGCTTTTCCATGCTGGGTAAAATCGCTTGCAGTCTAACTGGAAACTTTGTTAGTGCTGTGTGGCAAAAGTGCTCAGAAGTCTCTCCCTCTCCCGCCCCAACACGCACGACCAGGAAAGTTGAGCGCATGTCCTGTTTCTTCTGCTGAACAATCTATTTCTTTACTCAATAAACAATATTGAAATTTTGCATTTTCTCCATTGCCATAAAAGCGCACACAGCGCGACTTCACTTTCCGCCTCCCCTGTCCTGGTTGCGCTAGTGAGCTTTGAACACCGCGCGCAGTTAAACCGCAGCTCCGCGCCGCAGCCAGGAGCAGAACCTGTTTGCCCGCCCAGGGAATCCGCTCCACCGCAGGACGAAATAAGTCCCGCAAGTGCGGTCCCCGCCGACAGCTGTGCGCCTGCGTCGGCGCTTGGTACGACGCGCCGGGTCAAGGGTCACAGGCAAGATGGCGGCGGCGCTGACCTTCCGCCGGCTGCTGGCCCTGCCTCGGGCTGCGCGGGGTTTCGGGGTGCGAGTGTCGCCGACCGGGGAGAAGGTCACGCACACCGGCCAGGTAACGGCCGCGGCCGCCACGCCCGGAACCCGAGACTGACGGTGGCAGGGCGCCTGGCAAGGTGTGCTGCTGCCAGGCTCGCGCGCGCGTGCGCGCGAAGCCCTGCCGGGCTCACCGTGGGGGGCAGCCCCGAGCCCAGCTCTGACTTGTTGCTAGTGGCTTCCGGTTGGGAGTTGGTATGCACGCATTCTTTGGGTCATATCTTCATATTAAGTTCCAAGTTTTAGTCATAGGGTTTAAAGCAATCCTAACGTTCAATATAATGGCAAACCAAAAAATAAATAAGTAAATAAATAAATAAATAAAAATTTTAAAAAAGGGAAAGGAGCAGTGTCTCCTGAAATGTCGCCCATTGGAGGTGGCGATCTGTGAAGGCAGGGCCTTGTCTTCAGTCTGCACTCCAGTCTGTCAGTCCCGTGGGACTCCTTCAGTACAAGTACACTGCCTCTTGGTGGGTCTGTCTCCTCATCAATGGCTGTAGACCACAGGGAACATTGTTCTGTAATATCTGTGATCAGTATTATGTGACTTCATTCAGAATGCAATTGTAGAAATCACAGACGGTCTTTTTGTTGTTGTTTTCTCCAGGTTTATGATGAAAAAGACTACAGGAGGGTTCGGTTTGTCGACCGTCAGAAAGAGGTAAGTGGAAGATCTAGTAAGAGAGACAAGAATTCATAAAACACAAACAGGTTGAGTGACTGAGCACTAATATACCACAGTGAGTGCTGCACCTGACTAGGGGGTGGGTTGTAATGAGAACACAGGCACAGCGACGGTATTACATATAAATACCTTCCAGCACTGTATAAGGTGTAAAGAAGCAAGTGGATTTCATGTTTAGACTTGGGCCCATCTTTGAGGTGGCTCATGTGTATGCAGATATTCTCAAATCAGAGGCATTGGCTGGTCCCAGGCTTCTCATGGAACTGGTATTTAGTGTGCGCCAGCTTAACATGGAAGAGCTAGAGAAGTTCTCACATATCCCAAGCACCCTAGAAACCCTGGAGTCCTAAATGTAAATTGTGTCAACTCCCGCCCCCCTCAGAATACACAGCATCCTGTAACAGTAGTTCAGGCTTTCATAGCGTAAATCTTGTTTTTGGTCTGGTAACCTGTCATAGTGGTTTTTATTGCTGACAAAGCATCATGACCAAACGAAGCATGGGGAGGAAAGGGCTTATTTCATTTTATAACTCTCAGGTCACATGGCCATGGAGGAATGCTGCTGACTGGCGTGGTGTGCTCAGCCTGTTTTCTTAGGGCACCCAGGACCACCAGTCAGTCTGGAGGTGGCACTGCCCACAGTAAGCGGGGCCCTCCTGTATCATCAAGAAAATGCCGCCACAGACTTTCCTGCAGGCCAATCCTAAGGAGACATTTTCTCAATGAGTTGAGTGGACATAAAACTAGCCAGCATAGTATCTCTTACGTTAAGGAAGACACACTATTAAAATTTACTCTTCTGATGACTTACTAAGGTAAGAATTTTTTAGTATTCATCAGATAGATTGTGCTATGCTCTCCCAGGATAGGGGTAACTTGAGGAGGTTTAGTCCCCCACACAGGGGAAGGTCATTTAGTTCAGACCCATGTGACTATGCTGCTAGGGAAAGAATAGAGGGTTGGGTCTGCCCTGCCTACGTAGCCTAAGTCAGTTTCTCTGTCTCCTGTGTCTAAGTGCCCAGACTCTTCCTTCTGATACGGTGGTTCACACTGTCCTCTGTGGTTCCAGAGGTGTTTGCCTCCGTGTGTGCCTTCAGTCATGCCCCTCCCTCTGCATTCAGCTCGATTCTTTCTGTGCTGCTCTAGCTGTCCCTAAATCAGAGTCCCCCGCCCTCTCTGATCTTGGTCACATTGTCCCAGTGTCTGGTTTTTGAATTCTGATTCGTAACAAACTCACTTGTGACACATTGGTTAATTGTGAGTTCATATTCCCAAGTTTCAGCCAGTATCCTGTTGAGTCTAATGAATACGAGGCAGAGAATTTTGTGTTCTTTGACTCCTTGATTGGTTTTGATGTCTACTGGGGGGTGGGGGGAGATTGAGAGAGGTCAGTCTTCACGAAGCAGGTGGAAGCCAGTGAGCTTACATGCTAACATGGCTTCAGGGTGAATAGCGTAGGCGACTGCTTCTCAAGTTCACTTTTCTCGTTTGTAACTTATTTTTCATAGTGAGTGTTTGTCATTGTGGGTGTCCAGGAGATGGATTGCCTTTAGCATAAGACAATTTCTGCTCCTAGTGTGGCAGAACAGATCTCTCTGCTATTGAGTGCTATTGTATTCCTCGTTATTGTGGCCTTTGCATATGTTCCTGTGTACAGTCCTCAGTGTGGTGTTTCACACCTGCTGCACACTCCCCCTTCCTTCACTCCTCCAGTGTGGTGTTTCACCCCTGCTGCACACTCGCCCTTCCTTCAGTCCTCCAGTGTGGTGTTTCACACCTGCTGCACACTCCCCCTTCCTTCAGTCCTCCAGTATGGTGTTTCACACCTGCTGCACACTCTCTTCAGTCCTCCAGTGTGGTGTTTCACACCTGCTGCACGCTCCCCCTTTCTTTGGTCCTCCAGTGTGGTGTTTCACACCTGCT